TTTTTTTTTTTTTTTTATACCTTTATTTTTACCGGCAAGTCAAAATGGTGGCCTGATAAGTGGAGTAACCTCATAGGAAAGGGAAGTAGGGCTAAAATAAATAAAATACTTAAGTAATACATACATAAAATATAATTTAAAACACAACAGACAACCCCAAAAATGTCTATGCAGAGAAGCAGCTGCAAGTGTCTCTCAACAAGGATGATATAATTGTTTTGAAGGATGAAACTGAAATTAGTCTATCCAGTTTAAGAATATTTTGCAGAGCGTTCCAGTCACGAGCCGCACCAGATCGAAAAGAAGTAAAACTAAAAGTAGTCTTGGTTTTAGGAAGTAAGTTATTGTAGATGTAGTGAGGACCTGGTGTTGTAAGTGACAGGCTTTGGCTCCAGCAGGTGACCTTAATCAGGTGACCTGATTTAAAGGGGTGTTTTAAATAAAGATGAACCAGTGAATTTAGCATCAAATGTGAATGGAGGGCCAGTTAACAGATGAATACAGAGCACATTTATGGCAAACCTGATGGTGGAATGGTAAAGACTGTCACGTTTTGGTAGAGTGGACTTGCAAGCAACCCTATTTATAGTATCTCCATAGTCTAAAATATGTAGAATGGACATTTAAAACCTTGTTATGAGAATCAATATTTTTATACAAAACACTCCTTAGTAGAAAAAACACCCCTCTTCCTTAGACACCCAGCAGCCTTGCAGGTCTGAGGGCTGAATGAATTAAACCCAGCATAGATTCATATATTTAAAAAGGAATCAAAAGCAGATCGATTTTTTTCCCAGCACTAACAACTGTCTCTGTTAAAAAGCCTGGTGGTAAAACTATCTGAATAGTGCATTTCTGACCGTTTTCTCCAATGTTCTCTGGCTTTGAGACAATGTTTCTTTAAGGCTCAGATTTCCTCAGGAAACACGCACATCAGACAAACATTCTGCGGGCAGACCTTCATTACTGATATCTGCAGTCAGCTTGTGTTCCACAGAAGCTCTGAAGCAGTAAGTACAATTTTTGTTTTAAAAGTCTCACTCTCTCTGAAAAAGAGAATGTAGCTCTAACTTAAATGAATTGCTGAGTTGATCCAGCTTAATTGATTTAGTTAAATAGTTACCACGTTGAATTATTAAGTCAGGCTTATCTAAAGACATAACCTTTACTCTGAATGAACAGAAACAGAACTATACCCTTAGATTTTATGCTATTTAAGCTATGAACTCCATGTATTGGATTTTTCATTTCTGCATTGAGTTTACGACCCAAATTTCGACAGAGGGAGCCAATAAGGACCAACTTCCCTTTTTACAGTAAATGAAAGTGAAAAATTGTTCGCTCCAGCCACGGACTGATGAAGACAGGATGTTGCTGCTGCCAGCAACAACGCCCTGCAACAACACTCTGTGTTTTTGACATGATCAGACAGTTGGCTTAGGAAAATACCACCTTAAAGCCACAGATGATTGTTGAGATTTATGTTAAGCTGGACAAAAAGCCTTATTTGGTTTTGTTGGAATAAATTCAGTTTGTTTTAGTGGAAGTTTTCTTTGTTTGCTGAGAAATTGTTGTAAATTCACATTTAGGATGTTATCCACTTTAGATGTATGTGCCACCGTAAACGCCTGCAAAGTCTCATGCTGCATGAGTTTTTCCCTGTTCGTTTCCCTCAACAGGTTCTGAAAATGTCTCTTTCAACTCACCGTCAGTGCACAGTGGAGATTCAGAACAAGACATCCAGCGTCATCCTGTCTGAGCCGCTGTGAGTTTTAAAACAGACGTACACCCAGCATCCAGGACCAGAAATAAATAACTGAAAATGTTTTGTCATTATTTCCTTTCTATCTCTTCTTTCTTTCATCTTTTCTCTTTTTTTTCCTTTTCTTCTTCTGTTTTTCTGCTCTATTTACATTGCAGTGTCCATATAAACTGTAAAACTCCCTGCATAATTATAATAAAGCAATTTATATGCATGAAACAAGTGGAGCAATATGGCAATTGCCATACGGCTACACTTGT